GCGTCGTTTCTGCTCTCCGCCTCCAAGAGGCGGCCGCTTCCGCAGCTCCGCAGGAACCCAGAATGGTTTCCTCGGACTCGGACTAATTAATGGGGGGGGGCCGTTAGCCGAAGGGGATCCTCCTGTCTGCAGGAGATCGCCCCTCGGCTTTCGGCCCCCCCTCTTGGTTTCCCGTTTCAGAAAGACTCTTCTGGCCAGGATAACGCTGGTGAGACTGTGGAGTTTTTACGCCAAGGAGCGTCCCCTTGTCTGGCTCGCCACCAGGCAAGGCGTATGTGGCTGCATTGTTGATGTCCAAAATCCCCCTCCTCCTCCTCCTCCTCCTCCTCCTCCTCCTCCTCCTCCTCCTCCTCCTCCTCCTCCTCCTCCCCCTCCTCCCCCGATTCTCTTGCCCAGGGTGTCAGCGGGCCCCGTTCGAGAGCCACCTTCCCAGGGCCATGTTCCGGAGGTTTTGGATGTGACTCCGGGGGGCTGCTCGCGCGGGCAAAGTCAAGGAAGCTCAAAGGCCTCGCACCTATCAAGTGGTGGGCCAACTTGGCCGGGTGCGAGGTGGCTGAGGCCACCCAGACTTTTTCGCCTCACCGGGGCGCAGAGGGGGGGGGCGGGGCGAGGCAAGGCCACCGGCTGGTCTGGAAATTTGTTTTTTCGCTAGATCGGGGGCCGCCTGGTAGAGGCCCGCCTAAGCACCACTTCTTGCCTTTTGATATTCTGCCAGGCGGGTGCGCGACCGCATCTTGGACTGCGGGGGGGTTTTAACGCTACCCAGGTCGAGGAGGGCCCTGGGGTCAGGGGCCTGGGGACGCCCGCGGGCCTCCGCGGCAATGCCCCCCCCTCTTCCGCGCCCCAGCCTGGGGGCCCTTAGGAGGCGCGTTCCGGGGCACCCCTTTTTCATCCTCCACAATCGGGGCCCGCAGCACGCGTTGCTTGACCCCTTGCATACCACGGCCGAAGGTCTGTCGCCAAATTTCAGCGAGGATGTCGGACAGAGACTCTTCGATCTGTCTATGCAGGCTGCCGTTGCGGCGTCCACTGCTGAGTCGGCCGCGAAGGAGTCTGCCTTTCCTCGCGGCGCAGATGATTGCGCGAGAACATCGGCCAGGGCGCCAAGAGGGCGCACTCGGTCACCTCCGAGCCTCAGCCGTGGAAGCCGGCTCCCACGCCGTCGGCAACCGGCTGCGTGATCAGCGGCCCCAGGCCCCTTCTGAGCGCCGAGAGGGGGGCAAGTTCGCTTGCCTTCGGAGCCGCGCCGTCGCCGACCTTACCTGTTCAGGCGGGGGGCTTTGAGCCCTCCCCCGGTTCCTCCCCCCTTGGACCCTCGCGAACTGATCGGCGGGATTCCGTGGAAGTGCAAGTTGAGTTCGGCCGTTGAGATCGACGGCTCCCATGTGAAACATGTCTGTATGATCTCGCCCCCTGGTGTCTTCGCCCTGTGGAAACTCTCCCAGGTCATAGAAATATCTAGCACGCTGCCCGCCCAGCTCGACGCCGCTGCGCCGGCGCCGATGGCCAAGGCGGCGGCCATATTCCGCCCTGTAGGCATTTTGATGGGGCCCTATCGTCATGGGGGCCGCGCCCGCAAGTGCCTCGCCAAGAGCTGGGGTGGGGTGGGGGGGGCGAACTCTCGCCCCTTGGCGGGGAAGCATCAGGGGGCGGCGGGCGTGGCTTGGAGGCAGAGCCTGAGGGGCGAACGCGGCCCTTCTCATGGCCAACACTCTGCCACGCTTTTTCAAAATGCGTATAAGTCCTACGACTTGATGGACTGTGAGCGGCCCCAAGGGCGTTGCATCCGTGTCAGTTTCCTCGCATGATGGCCCAGCTGGCCATCTGGGCCTGCAGGGCCCTTCGTTTCTGCCCCATCGGTGGTTGCCTGGACGGGCCCTGTTTTGTCCGTTCGGGAATTGTTGCCGGCTGCTCGATGGCGACCGCCCTCATCAGGGTCAACGCTCTCGAGCCCCTAGACAAGGTAGTTCTGGGGCCAGGTCTGGTACGATGCGGGCCCAAGTGCCGTCGGCTCTTTCAAGTTCGCGGCGGACGCCATCGCTGACACAGCGCCCCTGCTCCGCGCCGTGATTGTCGACGGGGTCTGCGGTCAGGTGGCGGTTGATAGATCCATTCTCTTTCGTTCCTCAGCTAAGCTCGGCCACACTATCAGTCCTAAACTGACGGAGCCCATCACTGTGAGCACGGTGAACTCGGGAGTCGATGACGCTTCGGGGAGGAGCTTTAGGGTAAAGGTCGGGACAAGAAGCGCAAGGTCAGGACGAGATTGCCCGGCAAGAGAGCAGGCTGCGCGGCCAAACTCAGGCAGGTCATCGGTTTTGAGTGCTCTCTGCGCGTCTTGTCGGGAGGCCCCCCAGCCGGGCCTGCTACGCGGCAGCGGGATCCTGTTCCCGTTCATTATTCTGTTTAAGTCGGGCATGTCCCTCTACAGGAGAAATATTCAAGAATAGTGAAAATATAGTCTGGGGACGATTGTTCTCACCATTTTTGAACTACTTGTGAATATGTTCGGCAATGTCTTGTTTTTCGTCCAAGATCCGCCTGGAAGAGGACGCGACCGACCTAAATCTATTTTTGCGGTGGCACGAAGTGGTCTGGTGCACCCGTGCACGGGCCTCTGAAGCCTCTGCATGCTTGGGAAGGCACTGCGTTCAAGCCCTCGGTGTCCTGGAAAGCTGCAGGCGGCCCCGCATACGCAAGTCCTTGGAAATGGCCTCATGGGCAACGCGGGATTTCGCCATTCTCGTCGCCGACATAAGGGCGGAGCTCTCCATGACCCCCATGCCCCCACAGCTTACTAAGCAGCATCTTCCCAGGGCAGTGTTCAGGATTTTCGAGTGGGAGTCTCGCTGTATATGGGGCGGCCCTCACCGTTTTCTTTTCGATGTAATCATGGCCGCACTTCGCCGAACGAAGTGTCGCGTTTTCGAGAAAAGGATGTATCAGAGTTGTTATCACCAACGCTCTTTGGACATTTTGGAACGCCAACCGCTTGGGGTGCCAAGTAGACCCCTATGTGCCCCCTTTCTGCGGGGCGGCCGCCGACGCTTCACCGCCGTCTTTGGGCCTGTAGGTGCCACGAGGCCGCTGAGCTAAAGGACAATTCTGTTGACGCCAAGATCGTGGCCAAGGCGCTGGAGGAGCCCTGCCCACTTCGGTCGTGTTCCGGTGTTTTCTCCCACCCTGGGGATTTCCTTGCCTGGGCCGTCCTCGGAGCCGTCCGCTACCTTTCTTTTTGAAGGGTTTTCTCATGACATCGGTTCGTTTTGTTTCAAGGGCAATGTCTTTACCGATGGCAGTGTTTTTAACATGTTGTGCGCGAGCTCATTCGAGCTGGCTGGTGCGTTGTGTCTGTCGACGACCAAGGGGGGCCCTCTGGGGGGATGCGCTTCCCTGTGCCACCGTGCTACCCTCAGACAGCTCCAGCTGATGAGTTTCTGGCAATCGGCATCGATACATTGCAACGAATTTTCTGACGTTTACACCAGCAGTTTGCCAAGGATCATTTTGATCGTCCGACGGTTGGCCAGTTAGCGCTAAGGCGTTGCTACAGTGTGTTTCTCTTTCCTAAGAGCAGTTGAAGATGGGATCCCTCCACAAAGTGAAGGCTCACCTGCCTCTTGATGAATGGCCCTCACCGCATGATAAGATGAGCCGCGTTAGCAGTCATCACGCAGACACCGAGGCCAAGCGTGCCAGTGCTGGCGAAGGCCATCTGGGCCACCCCCAACCCTCGGAGGAACAGGCAACCACACTCGATCTCGACATGAAGCTCTCGAGGGCGGTGGCGGGCTGGCGGCGGAGCTGTTGCCGCTCTGGCCTCGTCTGGACTTGCAGGACGTTCATTGGGCCATGTTTGCTAAGCAGTCTGCTTCTGCTGTCATGAAGTCTTTAAGCAGTCTGCTTCTGCTGCCATGAAGTCTTTAAAGTGCTCAAGGCAATTCATGAACCTTGTCCGACTTCGTCGGAGCAGGGCACTCGAGGCCGTCCCATCGCACGGTTAAATTTCTTGGTTCAGCAAATGCACCACGCCGCGGCCAGCATGCCATCGCAAGGTCTCGGAGTAGTAACCGGTCAAGATCAAGTACACTGGGCCACGAGCCTCATGAATATACACAACAGTCTTGTCCACGCTGCGAAGACTCTGGCTGACAGCACTGATACCATTGTCATGAACTTAGAGAGGAAAGCAGCTGCCAAGAGTTACAGTGCTTTCCGAGATTGGATCGTCACCGTCCTGAGGTCCAACGTGGGCAAATTACATCGCTTTGTCAAACCGAAGGCCAGGGTTGAGAATGAGCTTACCATCGACACGTGCAGTCACACCACCTACACCGAGATGTTGCAGGCCAAGACGGAGCTCTGGGCCAAGACATGGGCATCACAACGGTTCGATTCCAAGAAGGTGTTCCGCCTGCAACGAGAAGCGCACCGACGAGCACGAGAACAGCTGTTACCGCCTATGACCACCGAGCAGGTACAAGAGGCGGTGGACCACATCAACGCCAAGAAGGCAGCGGGCATTGAGCATATCGGAGGAGCCTACAAATATCTCCCTCCGAAAGGCGTCGAGGATTTGACGCACTTCCTCATCTGTTGTGAGACTGAGGGCACTTGGCCCTGGCAGATACAGGCAGTGTTGATTGCTTTGTTGCGCAGGGGCCCCAACGCAGATCGTTCCATCGGACTCATCCCCGACGCCACCAGGCTCTGGAGTGCTGCGCGCAAGTGTGATGCCACAGAGTGGGTGGATCAAGTCGCGGGGAAGTGGGACATGGCCATCAGAGGGTCGTCTTGCTTGCGAGGTGGGCTCTTGAGAGCCTTCATGGACGAGTCCGTTGGGGCTGGGCCAGAGCACGCGATTTCAGCATCTTTGTTGCGGGACACCGATGGCTTTTATGACGCGCTGGAGTTTGACAGACTTTTCGAGCAGGGCCTCTCGCCAAGGATTTCCCTCCTCAGATCCTTCCACTCGACGGGCTCGCGCACTTCACCTGCAGGATCTCCAGGGAACGCCGGAGCTTCCCGGAGCCCGTGCAGGCCTACAACAGCATCATAGCAAGGGCCTGCAGTGGCCTTGATTTTGGAAGGTTCTACATCTACTCCATCCTGGAGTACGTCTACAGCCAGTTAACACCAGCGGTCTACACGTCTTCTTGGCTCGATGACATCACGCAGAGCTCCCATGGGTCCGTCAGGTTCGTCACGCAGGCCCTCATCAATGCGGGCACCTCCCTCGGCAGGCTCTGCAAGAATGCTCGCCTAGAGATCCCCTCCAAGTCCAGAGTCATCAGCAGCGACCCGAAGCTTGCCAAAGAAGTGGCCCAGAAGGTGGCCCTGCATAACATATGATTCACGGTTGCTACGAAGGCTGTAAACCTAGGCGCAGACAGAGGCACCAGCAGGAGAGTTCGACCCATGGCTGCAGCTCGACGGAAGGCCGCCCGGCTACAAGCCCGTCGCAGCAGCAAGTTTTTGGCAGCAGGTCGACGTGGACGCGTCGCCGCACGCCGTGTCGTCCAGCTAGGAAGCATGGCCAAGGTACAGTACGATGCAGCAGTGCACGGACAAGCCCCATCCTCAGTTCCGGCATGGAGGCGAGCTATTGCGCGCACATTTTCTCCTTCCGTACGAGGCAGGTGCCCCGACTCCCTCCTGCAGGTAGAGCTGGGCATCAAGGGCCCAGAGATCGCCCAGGCGTGGAGAATGGTCGACTTTTGGATGGCCATCCTCACAGCTGGCGCTAGAGAACGATCCCTGGCGCTACGAAATTGGCCCGTGCACTTACGTAGAGCCCGCAGCAAGCCAGAACACAGATGGAGGAAAGCAACAGGGCCCACTAGGGCACTAGGGCCCACTAGGGCCATTATCAACACACTCCTGGACATCGACTGGAAATCCGAGGGGCCTTGGGATTGGGATTCAGACCAAGGTGAACGATTTCGAGCCTCCGGGGACGTTCTGGCTGTAGGTGTTTTTCGACATCTCTGATTTGACGGAGGAGATGGCCGCCACGATTCGGAGGAGGATGTGGAGGAGAGCAGCTAGACATTTCGAGAGCGAGGACGTTGGAGGAGGAGTGTCTCTCTACGATGTTCGCAGATAGCTTGCAGCTGTAAGAAGAGCCCAACAGTTTCAGTGTGCAGGAGCTTTCCTCTCAGTCGCTGCAGGAGGTCAATGGCCAAAGTGTCGCGTCGCTGATGTCTGCAAGCCCCCCGAGTTTCTGTCTTATGTGATCAATGTGGGGAACAGGAGGAGACGCTTTTCCACTGAGTATGAGGTTGCAGGTGTAATGAGGAGGCATCGGCGACCAAGGCTTCAAGTTATTTATCACCTCGAGCTTGCACGCAGCACGAGGCGAACCCTGATGTTTGGCTTCGAGGCCTGACCCCGTCGACTTGGATCGACCTGCCAGAGCCCCCCAGGAGCAGTAGGCTGAGATAATTTGCCACTGTCAGTGGCCAAGAGATACCACCTACAATGTCGGCGCTGGAGATGCCTCAGGCGGTCGGTACACGGAGTCCAGCCTCTTCCGCTGAGTGGCTTGGGCTCATGTCGTTGTCCAGCCCTTCTCCCCCGCGCTCACCCGACGCCCGAGCTCGAGCTGGCGAAACAGTCGGCAGGTGCGGCATGGGGCGCTCAGACCATCAACCACGGGGAGTTGCAGGCTTTCCTGAAGTTCCTAGAGGGGGCCCCAGTTGGCCCAAGGCTTATTTATGCCACCGATTCCATGTATGTGTCCTTGAACGCTCTCAGAGTGTGTAACAACCAGTTCCCTGGGCAGTACGTCGATGAGTGGAACAAGGTCCAGGGGGTCCTGAGAAGCAGGGAGGTCACGGTCAGAAAGATCGAGTCACACATGAGCCCCGAGAGGGCTGCGGAGAAACGCGCGCAAGTTTTTGCCTTTGTAGGGAATCATGTAGCATATACATTGGCAGACGAGACTGCTAAGAGAGTCCAGTTGGACTTAGGCTTCGTCCTGGCCACCAGGTTGAGTTTGGCCCCCACTAGGGCGGTGAGAATTCGAGCCGCCGGGTTTTTCCTGAGCAGGTTTCAGGCGCCCGACGAGAATGCCCCCCGAGAGCCCGGCGACCCATCGGCGATAGATCCATGCGCAAGCCGCGTTCCTCGGCTTCTGCCGGCCTGGCCCAGGGGGGGTAAATTCAAGCGCCTCAGAACAGAGAGCGCCCACGATTTAGTACCCTGCGAAGAGAATAGGTTTCGTTGTTATCGGTGCCTCTCGGTTGTGTCTGTCAATTCGTACAGTAGTAAGCCCGCGCAAGCCTTCCTGTCGGCCGTGTGTCTCCCCGCGGGCCCCTGGCGCGGCTCTGCGTCGGTCCCTGGGGCCCGTGCTGTCGAGAGAGCCTTCATAGGAGCTTCCTACGTTCACGAGACCCACCGGATGGTGGTCACGAGCAAAGGCACGTTTATTTGTGTGAACTGCGGCGCCCATGCCGTGCGCAGGTCCCAGAACCTCAAGAAAGATGCGCTCGAGCCACAGGAGCTGGGAAAGCTGCACTCGCAAAATTCGTGAAAAAGGCTCTCTTTAATTTGCAACGCCCCGCTCCCAAGCAGCGGGCTTCGGCTCTTCTTGAAACGACGGGTGGTCAGCATCGGGGTCCTCCTCCTCCTCCTCCTCCTCGTCCTCCTCCTCCTCTTCCTCCCCCTCCCCTTCGTCGGTATGTACACTCGTATATCATCGCGTTCGAAAGTAGGACTCACAATTTTGACAGACTTGACGTGCCAACATGATAATATATGCCTCTGACATCTTCAAGTTGCCAACAAGTTTGTGATCATGGTTTCGCTGAAATCTATATGTAATGGGTGTCACACGTCACACTATTAGAAGATATCGTCAGGGTGCATCTGTTTGCAGGCATGGTTGTTCAGCCGTCTGTGGAGTTTGCCTGCTTCATTATCTTTCTTGTCCTACTGTTCCGCCCTTCCTCAACATATTATTCCTACGCTTCGTGATTATGATTCTGATCCACTCGTGAGCCTCCTGCCTCAGCATTTTGAACTCTCCTCTCCTGGCTCGTTTGTCTCGTTCATTCATCGCTCTAAATCTCCTCCACTCCTCATTTCAAGTCCTTCGTTCTCGTGCTGCCCTCCCCGACATTGCGTTTACCCGGAACGTGTTGCACGGCCGCCCGCGTTTCATTTTCAGGCGCGCCCCGCGGCTCCCCCAGCTAGCGCAGTAACCGAGTGCCCCCGACAATAAATCATGCGGCTCTTTTTTAACCCCCTGAATGTTTACTATCCCGTGTCAATCGGATTTCATGGTGGAGAGGGGCGCGGAGGCCGAATTTAATAATCCCCCGGGGAAATTGCGAATCGAAGTTGCCATCATCTTATGTTGACTAGCAACAGCATCGTCTCACCATTTCAGTTTCCGCAGTCACGAGCGTTTGGCCGGGCTATGGGATTCTCACCATCGTGCCAAGGTCGTGCGCAAGAGAGGTTTCTTGGCCAGGAGCGCCAAGGACCTCCTCTCTTGCGCCGGCAAGTTGTAGCCACGAGACTCGAGATCTCTCGAGTCAGTCTTGTGCCCAAATCTACAAGGTCAGTCTACACGAGCGCCCAGGATCATCATCATCAGCATCAGCATCAGCATCGTTATCATCATCATCATCATCATCATCATCATCATCATCATCATCATCATCATCATCATCATCATCATCATCATCATCATCATCATCATCATCATCATCCTTCGCCGGGAAAATCGTTGATTATCCCCGCCAGACCCCCCAACCTTATTATGCCCCGGGGATTATAATCGGGAGCACAGGGTTAGCTGCGGCAGACAGGGGACATCCTTCAGCGGTGGGGCTCCTCCTCCTCCTCCTCGTCCTCCTTCGGTTCCATGTAAGCCTGTGTCTGGGCTTGCAGCGAGCGTTCTGGGGAGCAGGGGCCACAGGTGTATAACATTGCTTTGTTCAGACCAGGCTTCCCTGGTCATCTGCTCGAGGTGTTTTTGTTACTCGTCACGCGGACGAGTTTCTGGCTGAGGTGTTGATTCGTGCGGGGCCCACACGGCCTGCCAGGCACAACAATTGGAACCCTTTGCGCAAAGGCCGCCATCCTAAACTTCCATGTGTCACGGTCGAGGTCGGACCCATGGCCAAGTCAGGTTAATGTGTATAGCATGTCGATGCCGATGTCGACAATCCCCTGGGTCCTCCCCCGCCTCATCTTCATCATCGTCTTCGCGTTCCTCACCTCATCCAACACTTGCAGCGGCCTCGCACTACATGAAGCAACGCCCAACGCCTCGGACCCCCACCCCCCCGGCTGGCGCCGGACGAGGTCGGCGCGGACGCGTTGCCGCTGGGCAGGAGGACCACGTCGCCAGCGCTGCCGGCGCAGCGGGCCACGTCGCCAGCGCCGCGGGCGCACGAGGCATTTGGGCCAGCGCGGGCATCGGGAGGAACGTTGGGGGTTCAGGGGGAAGAGATCAGCGTTTCTTCGTCCTGCTCCCTCGAGATCGGGTCTCAGGGGCAGCGTTTCCGGATGTTTTAGCTGGGTGCCGAAGGTTCCAATTTCGGGATGCTTTCCAGCAGCTACGCCTCGCCGCGGGTGTGCCCAGGACGATCCCGAACGGCCATGGGAGGCCCAACTGACGGGCCGAAAGCCACCTAGGGATCGGCTCAGGGACGCTTCATCGGCCCTCGGTCGCCCACTCATCGCCGATGGGGGCCCGATGGCCCACCTCGCCAGGGGCCGTGCGGATTCACTATCGAGGGCCTGGCGCCGATGTGTCTGCGATGCGTCGTCGATTCCAGCTCGAGCCGAACCCCCCGTAACGCCCCCCTTCAGGGCAAGGTTGGGCGAATCGGCGGCTCAAAGACAGGGGCCTGAGGGATGGAGCCCAAAGGATAGGAGGGGAGCTCAGGTTGAAGCCGCGTTGAGCAGCAATCTGGAAGGTTCAGGACGTGCGGCGCTCTGGAAGCATATCTTGGATGTACAGCGAGTGGTGGGCATGCTGTGAGGGGCGTGCGCAGGGAGCTGCCTACACACGCAGAGTCGGGCAGTGATTATTATGCGGTAAGCATCGGGGAGGAGGAGGGGGAGGAGGAGGTGAAGGAGGAGGAGGTGAAGGAGGAGGAGGTGGAGGAGGATGAGTTCCAAAGCGATCCGGAATGCTTTCAGAACGTCCCGGAACGCTCTGGGACGGCCGCGGCGCCCGAGGCATCTTCCTGAGACGCCGGATCTCAGAGATTCTCGATTTGTCCTCGTCCGAATCTGTCCTCGTCCAGGCTTTTCGGTTCAGAGACAAGAAGCAGGAACAGGAACTCACGCTGGCTGAGGCTCCTCGTCCTCGA